CGGCCCAGCTGGTAACCTAGATCTAGGTACATCTGTTCCGGCAGAAGTTACTGCTTTTCCCTTTTTTTTTTTTTTTTTTTTTTTTTTTTTTTTTTTTTTTTTTTTTTTTTTTCTCTATCTTTTTTATTTTCTGTTTGCACAAACCCAGCAACACCACCGCATTCACGTGTGAAACCCCCCCCGAATACTGAAAACTCCTGACATGTTCTGACACACGTTATCGCACGGCTCACAATCCATCTGCACTGCACATGTTTTTTCATGTACGGCTTCCCGCAGTCCACCCGTCCACCCTTCCCAGCACCAGGTGTCAACCAAAGGTAGCGTTTGAGAGGAAACCAAATTTCGGCCTCATGATGAAACGATCGGGCAATAGAAAAAGGACCAAAACATTATAAAAAAAAAAAAAAAAAAAAAAGGACCACAACACCCCGCTGGTGGAAAAACTAAAAAAAAAAAAAAAAAAAAAAAAAAAACCTTCAGTATGTAGACCACAACACAAAATATATACAAAAAGAAGGACCACAACACCCTGCTGCTGAGAAACTTTGGTATAGATAGATAGATAGATAGATAGTATCTATCGATAGATAGTATCTGTCAATAGATAGATAGATAGATAGATAGATAGATTTAGAGCTATATTTGTTCCCATTCTAGTCCATACATAGTCACAGTCAAATATTTATGTATTATGTACACTCATATGTCGTCAAACGCACATATACATGTATATATCGTAAAACATATATGATGAGTCGGTGAAACTCCGACGAAACAGTTTGCCACAGCCTCTCGTTTGTTGTCCTCTTCTCCCTCCCTCTCTGCCTACGGGTTTACCGCGCAGCTCTGTTTGACGATATGTTTAGTATATACATATATTGTCACACTGTGAATCAGAGCGCGAAGGCGAAAAAAAAAAGAAAAAAGAAAAAAAAAAAAGTAAGGAAAGCCCCACCTGTTCATCACCTCTTACGTACAAGGCCAGCCACGTGGATGACAGGTTGAGCGCTGGCTGCCTCACCGCCAACCGACGGTGCCGTAGTTCCCTGTCAGACTTATCGACATGGCTCATGGCCTCCACGTCCTGCCTCCACGTCCTGCCTTGTCAGGTCGGTCACCTCTCAAATTGAATGCCGATTGCTATAGACTAAACCATCCGTTTACAAACTTCCAATAGCACACCGACTTACAGACTTCAAACTTTTAATAGCACACCGATTTACAATTTGTCACTGTCCCTCGCCGTCGTTGTTTTCTTCTTCCTCTTCCCCCTACATCACTGCCTGGTCCTCTCACTGCCGCTTATGTAGAGGTTTCAGAAAGGAAAGAAGGATAAGAAGAACAAGAAGAAGAGGAAGAGGAAGAGGAGGGGGAGGGGGAGGAGGGGGGAAGAGGAAGAAGAAGACGTCAAAGAAGAAGAAGAAGAGGCCGAAGAGGAAGAGGAGGCCATGAAAGGACAGAACAGGGCAACGAAAAGGACGAAAAGAATGATGAGGAAAGGGAAAACGTGGCCGGCCAAACAGAAGATGTGGGGCAGGAGAACCGAAAATATGGACACTCAGAGGAAGAAGAAGTAGAAGCAGAACACGAGGAAGAACAAGAAGGGAGAAGCATCAGTCGAATCATAAGAAGAAGAAGACGAGGAGGAAGAAGAAGAAGAGGAAGAAGAAGAAGAAGAAGAAGAAGAAGAAGAAGAAGAAGAAGAAGAAAGTTAAGGGTGATGAGGAGGGAGAGGAGGCAAGAGATTGAAGTGATCACTTAGCCAAGGAAATAAAGAAGGTACAAGGAGAGGGAGAGGGAGAGAGAGAGGGAGAAAGAGAGACAAATGGAGACTGCGAACAGAAGGAGAGGGAGAGAGAGAGAGAGAGAGAGAGAGAGAGAGAGAGAGAGAGAGAGGGAGAAAGAGAGACAAATGGAGACTGCGAATAGAAGAAGAGGGAGAGGGAGAGGGAGAGAGAGAGAGGGAGGCAGAGGGAGAGAGAGAGAGGGAGGGAGGGAGAAAGAGAGACAAATGGAGACTGGGAATAGACGGTTTCACAGGGGAATGTTCCCGTGTTTCTTCGGGGGATTCTTCAGCTTCTTGGTCCTCAGGCGTCGCAGTTCGTCGCAGATCCGGCTGCGAGTGTCCCTGGGATAGATGACGTCATCGAGATACCCAAGCCCTGCTGCAATGTACGGATTGCTGAATTTCTCCTTGTACTCTTGCGCTGCGCCGTCCATATCCTTGCTACCGCTGAAGAGAATCCTGACCGCGCCTTTCGCCCCCATCACGGCAATTTCTGCTGACGGCCATGCGAAGTTGGCATCCCCTCTCAGATGCTTCGACGACATCACATCGTATGCCCCCCCATAGGCTTTGCGCGTGATGACGGTAACCTTGGGAACGGTGGCTTCACCGAAGGCGTAGAGAAGTTTCGCCCCGTGTCTGATAATGCCCCCATACTCCTGCGCGGTGCCGGGGAGGAATCCGGGGACGTCAACGAAAGTGACGATCGGGATCTCGAAGCAATCGCAAAACCGCACAAAGCGCGCCGCTTTGACAGCCGCGTCGATGTCGATGCACCCGGCGAGGTAGTTCGGTTGATTGGCAACGAGACCGACAGTGGCGCCCTCCATTCGCGCAAAGCCGACGATCATATTGGGGGCGAAATCGGGCATAATTTCGAAAATGTCCCCATCGTCGACCACTTTTTCGAGGATCTCCTTCATATCGTACGGCACGGTTTCTTCCCGAGGAACGACGAAATCAAGGGATGGGATCAAGCGATCAGGGGGGTCATCAAAGGCCCGACGGGGAGGGGCTTCACGATTGGACAAAGGAAGGAAATCGATGAAGTCGCGTAGTCTGGCAAGGGCGTCTAGCTCGTTATCAAAGGCCCCGTGAGCGACACCAGATTTCGTGGTGTGCGACACGGCGCCGCCAAGCTGTTCCTGTGTGACAACCTCGTGTGTGACAGACCTTGTCACCTCCGGACCCGTCACAAACATGTGCGAGTACCCTTTAATCATGAACGTGAAATCGGTGAGAGCGGGGGAGTAGACAGCCCCCCCCGCACAGGGCCCCATTATCATCGAGATCTGAGGGATCACTCCAGAGGCCAATACATTCCTATTAAACACCTCGCAGTAGCCCGCTAACGACAAAACCCCTTCTTGAATTCGCGCGCCGCCGGAATCGTTGAGTCCAATCACCGGCGCTCCCACAGCCATAGCCTGGTCCATGATGTGCGCAATCTTCATGGCATGCGTCTCCGACAAACTCCCGCCAAAAACTGTGAAGTCTTGGCTGAAGACGAAGACCGTACGCCCGTTGATCGTTCCACAGCCGGTAATGACACCATCGCCCAAGAAGTGCTTCTCCTCCATACCGAAGTCCCGACACCTGTGCTGCACAAACATACCCGATTCGACGAAGGAGCCTTCGTCGAGAAGAGCGCCAATCCGCTCGCGCGCAGTCAATCTACCACCCTTGTGTTGTTTCTTGATACGCTCCGGTCCTCCTCCCACCATCGCCGTCTCCCTGACCTTCTCCAGACGCTGGATCGCTGGCCGTTGAGGCGCATGGTCATCCAACGGTTCATCTGGAACCGGGATCCCGAGTACAGTTGTCACCCATCGGCGACTAGCATTGGCCGACAAAAGCTGACGCACAGCTCCTCCTGTCGCCGCCATCGCTGGATCTCCTTGCAGCTCCCTCCTAGCCCTCCCAACCACGCCTGACAACGATCGACTCCCGGTTGCCGTGGCTTCTGACATCACACCTCGATGGCTTGCAGGGATAGACGACAGCCATTGCCAAGAAGAACTGGATGCGCTGTGACGGCGGCGAATGGCCGAGGAGAGCAACGCCCCCACACTACGACTAACACCCCCACCTCCCATCTCCCTTGGGAGGATCTCACTGCCTCCACACACAACACGGTGGCTCCCCCCTTTTGCTCTAGCCGCCTCTCCTTCCTTCTCTCCTCTCCTCCCCACACCCTTTGGCGGCGGCCGTATCCCCCCTCTAAAGGATATTCCACCTTTCGGTCACCTTTCCGTGCTTTCCAAAAAACTCATCTGCCGCTGATTGCTGTTTACCACGGCCGTCCGGCCGATCGCTACGGCAACCTTTTTTTTTTTTTTTTCACTCGTGCAAATCGTCCTCAAAGCAATCCTCGAGAAGAAAGAACCCGTGGACCTGTCGTCAATCAAACAATCAATCACTGAATCAATTACTTGGATCTCTCCATCAAAACCAACGAGCTGATCAATCGACCGACCAATCAATCAATCAGTCATAAACGGATAAATTACTGTATCACTTTCTGCTATAATTCCTGATTGGCACTGGCATTAGCACTATTACCAATTGGTCCACAGAGCGATTGGATCGATCGCCGGCTGCTTGATTGGTTGATTAGTTGATTGATTGATGGACGGATGGATGGATTTGAAGGACTGGATTGGATTCGATCAGACTCTACTGGACTGGACTGGACTGGAGTGAAGTGTGGCTGGACGGATTGAATTCTGTCGGATTGGATTGGATTGGATTTGGTTGGCACTGGATTGGATTGGATTAGATTGGATCAGACTGTACTGTACTGTACTGGACTGGACTGGATTGGACTGGACTGGAGTGGTGTGGTTGGATGGATTGGATTGGATTAGATTAGATTGGATTAAATTAGATTAGATTGGATTAGATTAGATTAAATGAGATTAGATTGGATTAGATTGGATTGGATTAGATTAGATTAGATTGCATTGGATTGGATTAGATCGGATTGGATTAGATCGGATTGGATTGGAGTGGAGTGGAGTGGATTGGATTGGATTAGATTGGATTGGATTGGAGTGGATTGGAGTGGATTGGAGTGGATTGGATTGGAATGGAGTGTGGTTGGATGGATTGAATTTTGTAGAATTGGCACTCTGCTGAT